GGCGATGAAGCACCAACGTTTTATGGGTTGTTTTTTTTAGCAGGTGTTGTTGAACGCGAGCATGAATCCGTGTTCCTGTTTCACTAATAAAATCCAAAATGATCCAAAGAGTCGCTGAATCCGAGTCTGGAAAACCGCCGACAGCAGGCATGAAGGTCCGCCCCCGCTGCACGTGCTCAGAAAACACTGCAGAGGCGCCGCTGTGACGAGGCCTCCAGCCAGCAGGTGGTGCTGTTGGCTCGGTCTGACACAAAGTTCTCTGCAGTCCTGCGTGGATGAAAGCACACTGTGCAAAAGTCATGAGCCCCCTCATCTCTTTATATTCTCTGAGTGTGTTTATTAAAACATACAAAACACACGTGATGGTTCAGAACGTTGATCAAAGATCTGCAACATCACAGGCTGACCTGACGCCGTGGCAGAGCCTCCGTCTCACAGGGGGCTGCTGACTCAGTGTTGGAGCTCCTCCCACACGCTGACCGTGATGTGGCTCCATCGCTCCATCAGTCCTGTTCCTCTGACCTTCGTCAGCGTTTCCTCCTGTGAGGCTGAGCAGCAGACGATCAGCTGATTGTCTCTCAGATCTGCTGCAGAGTTTTCAGGCCTCACACTTTTCAGCTCTTTGGGAATCGCCTCTTTGCTGCAAACTTAGTTTCATGTCAGACTGTTATCTGTGGCGTTTCTCACAGACTCCAATCACTGTCACATCACATGTGCAGGTACACTGGTACATGTGAGGAAAATTCTTGTGTGCGAGCTTCACAAGCAGCAGAGTTGTGCAAAAATACAACAACGTAAAACAAGCAAAATATAAGAACGGCTAAATCTGAGAGTAATAAATATATAATAGTATATGCATCACTGTGTGTGTGTGTGTGTGTGTGTGTGTGTATACACATATTTTACAAATTAAAAAGAGTAAAAAATAAAATATATATAAAAATATACAGACTTCGCTGCTAACAGCGTGTGCAGACACAACACTGGCTCGTACCTGAGCTTAAGTTGTGATCACATGTTGCATCCAGGTGAGGTGTGCAGTCATGGCGGACCTTCATGCTTGTTTCAATCTGTTGGTTTTTTTGGGGGGTTTTTCTGAACATTTGGCACTGTTGGGCCTCCGTAGACTGTTGGTTTTGGGTGTTTTAATAAAGAGAAAATGAACTGCAGCCGACTGTCAGGAAACCAGCTGTGAATAAATCCTGTTTCACAATAATTGCACTGAGAAGGGAAAGGCTTTTATTGTGAAACAGAGGGAAGAAGCTTGAAGCAACAGGAAGTTTGCAGAACAAAGGTTTTTGGTTTTTTTATTTACAATGTTTCATCATGAGTCATCAGGATAAAGTTTGGGGCACAACTCTAAACATCTGGAACATCTGCTCAGACTTGTGGTTTCCCCTCTGAAACACCCGCCTTCCTTCTGACCCCGTTGGACTCGATGTCTTTATTGTAGCGAGTCGATTTATTAACTCGGGTGTTTTAAGTGGAAATGTTATTTCTAATTATGGTTGTAAAATTTTCTCCTTTATCTCTGGATTTCTTGTGTTGATTCCTAAATATATGTCCTTCATGCCTCCTGACTTCCAAAATAAAAGTCCTTTTAAAGCATTTAACTGAATTTAAGCTGCTCTCACAGGCACTAGGACCCTGCGGACACTCTTCGGGCACTTCCTCCTGCTTTAAATAGCTTCAGCATCTGATTGGTGGATTTTTAATGAAGCAGGCTGAAGCTGATCTGCCACCTCACCTGTGTGCAAGGAGCAGGTGAGCGTGGCCAATCAGGTGGCGGCTCTGCGGTGAAATGTAGACAAACCTGTCAAGCAGAGAGAGAGCGAGC